TGATGTTCCAAAGGAAGGGAGCCACCAGGGAGAAGTTTTCTTGCTCCCGCCATATGTATATCTCCTTAGGAGAGGGTGCCTGCAACTTTCCCTGCCCCCTGCTCTGTGGGTCAGGTAGATGTGGCCAAGAAAATACAGTCCTTCAAATAACTGGTCCCAATCCAGGTAGGGCTTTAAAGGCGATAACCAGCACTTTGAATTGTAGCGGGAAGAAAATCAGCAGCCAATGCGGATGATTTTACACAGATTATACTTCTGAAATCATACTTTTTTTAAAAAAAAATCTGAATCACAGACATTGCATTATTATAAAAGCACCATAAAGAAAAGAAAAGTTTGTTTCTTTAAGGGAAATATGATACTCAAAGGGACATTACAGATTTTGTATATATTTATCCGGAAATTATTTTTACCAAAATAAATAACCATTCTTTTGACCAGGAATGCTTTGACCAGTTATGTAAAGATTGAGATATTTCATATACATATACACATACACACACACACACACACACATACATACATACANATGTGCCATCCAGTTTTGATAGTATGATCAGGCGAAGCCTTGGCTAGAGCCCACATGTGGCCTTCAGGTTATCGACCATTAGTCTACAGCAGCATTCCCCAACTTTTTTGGGTCCACAGACTAGCAGCAGCAACGGCAGCAGAGGGTGTGTGTGATTGCGTGGGCACAACCTAATCCAACACATGCACAAATAAAGCTTTGCACACTTGCCTGCAACTTGCGTGGCCCCAGTTCCCAAAAGCCTGGGGATTGGGAACCCCTGGCCTACAGAACAAAGAGCGGCTCTCTGAAATTTCAGACAGAGGTTTTTGCCAGCACCATATGATTTTTGCAAGGCTTCATAACTGTTTTATATCCTTTGCCAATAAAACGATGAAGCCAGCTCATAGCAACAAGTCATGTTAAACTGCAGGCCTTTGTGTTCTAACAATCACATACCAACAACGGTTCTTATCTATAATATAGTCTACCCTTCACCATTCCTGGCCCATAGATGCTATAACTGATATATTTGTATGGGTCACAGTTATGTTGGGATTTGTACGTCACACTAATCCATGGTTTCTTTGACCATGTTTACTGAAGAATTCCTATTAAACAAGAGTAAACAGGCAATCTTCTTCCAAAACAAATTGCAGAGTGAAGCAACCAAAAGTTCCAGAGGTGTCTGTCTCAGGTGAGACCAGCATTCCTTCCCTCTTTTATCAGAAGACGTAATCTGGTCAGCCTAGGGCTCTGATAAGCATATCCAGTCCTTGACTCTTGGTTTTAGAAGGGTCAAGGAAGGAGAATAAATGTAAAAAATTGCAACTTCTGATGTTTTGCCAAGCTCGGCTCGTAGGGCAAAAGATCAAGAGGAACAGATAACCAACAGTGGTCTTCATAGAGGGAATTCACATCAACCGTCACTGGAATGACAACAGCGTGTATCAGCCTCAATTATTTCAATTCAATATAATTTCGTTAATTTAGGAACCACCCATAATATCTCATAATGTCAAGCCATGGTGTCCACCACTTGAAAAAAAAAACCTAGCAACACAACAATCTTTGACATATACTGGAAGGGACCGCAGGAACACATCTCCCAAGTGGTAAATAGATAGGGGGCAAGAAGTAGAGAGAGAGAAGTTGGATTTACACACTATGCTGGAACCATATGTATTTTTCTTTGCCTAAATCTGTTTGCCTGATTCAAGAGACCATGGTTGATCAAATCACGATTCATCACAATAACCAGGTGATTACAAGAGCAAATATCTTGATATCTATCCTCCACCAATAGCAATAACACTTAGATTTATATACCATTTTACAGTGCTTTGCAGCCCTCTCTAAGCGGTTTACAGAGTCAGCACATTGCCCCCAACAATCTGGGATCCTCGTTTTACCCACCTCGGAAGGATGGAAGACTGAGTCAACCTTGAGCCTGCTGAGATTTGAACTGCCGAATTGCCGGGAACCGGCAGTCAGCAGAAGTAGCCTGTAGTACTGCACTCTAACCACTGTGCCACCATGGCTCAAATCCTGGGCTTTGTTTTTAGCCTTGGCATTGAAGTCTGATATAATGTGTAACTCTAGTTCTAATGGGTATACACAATAAACACAGGGCCCAGATAATAGAAGAACAAAAAGTGGGGGGGAAATTTAAACCACTTTTAAAAACATACTAATACAGCATTTATCTTTCTGGCTCCATCCATATCTGAGTACTTCAGCATACTACAGCATATCTTTTTTTAAAAAAAAAATATATTTTATTCATTTTCACATTCCATTTTACAATCACTTATATACAGGGTATTTGCTATAAGAAAAAAAAAATAAAANTGAAAGAAAAAAGGAAAAAGGGACAGAGAGACAAAAGGAAGGAAAGAGAGAGAAAGAGAGAGAGAGAAAACACATGGCCGGCAAGCCACTCCCACTAGGTCACATGGCCAGCAAGCCACACCCACAAAGGAGGCCACACCCACAGAGTAGGTTCAAAAAAAATTTGAAACCCACCACTGCATCAGACCAGCCTGGCCCAAAGTTGTACCTTTACTGAGTAGCAATCAGCAGGGGGAACTTCTCACGACAAGAAAATGAACGTGATTGCATATTTATGCCTGTTGCTAAAACTGTAGCTGCAAGGGGCATACAAAACATTTCAAATTCAAAATGGCTCAAGCTCACCATCCTCGAACACCATCCTGTTCGAGTTCAGCACGCACATTGCAGGTGTGAAACAAGGAATTCAAACATTTTGCACATTTTTACTTTTTAAAATATCCTTTATTTGCGATTATCAGCACAGTCTCTTTCTATGTTGGCCTAGGACACTCTCATTTGTTAACATTCAGTAAAGCAAGCTTTACTGAAATTTACACACTTGGCTAATAAAGAATTCTATTCTATTCTATTGTCAGTTGTATACAATGAATGATAAAAAGGAGATATTGAAACCAAAATCTCCAGTCACTCAGTTCAGCATACGCCTCAGATCATGATACCCAAGTTTGCCTTCCACAACCTGGCTCCTGTATATTTGTAATATTCCAACTCCAACTCTCGACCTGCATGGTCATTAGAAATCCAATCGAGCAAATAAAGCATATTTTAAATTTTAAGTACACATTTTTGGCATAAACAAAACTCAGCACAATCCCCCAAACCATGTATAAATAGCACTCCTATTTTGAGCGGAATTTGAACAGACAGCTTGAACATTAAGGATGCGAGTTGCAATATTGAATGGCTTAAGCATTAGATACATTATAGTTTTGTACCTTCTAACCTTGAGCTCCTGAAAGAAAGGCAGGATATCTGATAAATCCATACCTTTAAGGGTAATGCTCAGCATCAGAGGAAGACAATTTGATTTTGCTGAATACAAACAATGCTGGAAAGGGAAATGAATGCTCACTTCTGGTTAGAAAGGACTATTTTATACATTTGTGCTCTCCATTTCCACAACGCATTTTCTCCAGCCAGCTCCGGGTGGGAAAACCTGTGGACCTCTACCCAAGTTTTTCCAATTACCTACATCGGCTATGTTCCTTGCCAGGCCCAAATATCCTTGAGTCAAAAAGATATGTCAACCTTGGAGCTCAGGATTATGAGACAGGCAGTGAACAGTAGACAGGCTATGAGTGAAGATGACATCCTTCACCTCAGTTTGTCACTTCGTGTTAAGAAAGAGCAAGAGAAGCCCTCATTAGCTTGGGATAATTTTAGGATACAGAGCTATTGCCATAAGCACCCCCATTAGAAAATGTATACAGGAAATACAGCAGTGTTGTTATCCAATGAGGGTGTCCAAAATTTCCAGTCAGAGCATTGGAGTTTGAGGGAGTATGTAAAGCAGGTGTATTTTACTTCCTATTTNTCCTGAGCTAACGTGACTGGAGGAGGAATTCTGGGAGTTGAAGTCCACAAGTCTTAAAGCTGTCAGGTTTGAAGACCCCTAGTTTTTTTTCCTAAAGGGTTAGGGGTGCAAGGATCTTGTAACTTGATCTTGTAGCTTTAAGACTTGCATGCTTCAATGCCAGAGTTTCTGAATAGCTACTTGGACCAACCTAGAGTACTAATTCATAATTTCATATCCGTTCACATGGGCGGCAAGCCACTCCCATCCGGTCACATGGGTGGCAAGCCACCCCCACAAAGGAGGCCACACCCATAGAGTAGGTTCGAACAATTTTTGAAACCCACTACGGCTCAGCCTGCTGCGGGACCAGTGATGGGGTCTATCTCCAAAGACCGTCCAAAAGCTTCAGTGAGTACAGAGTCTGCCTGGAGTCTGAAAAAGGCCAGGAGATCAGAAAACATTCTTTCGATTTTTGTGCCATCTCCTGGTTGTCCAGAAGCTTTCATTCCTAATCCCAGATGCTATCTTAATTTCTGAATACCTGGAAGCTTTTATTATCTAAAACAGTGGTCTCCAACCTTGGCAACTTTAAGACTTGTGGACTTCAACTCCCAGAGTTCCTCAGCCAGCAAAGCAAAGCTTTGCATGCTTCAATGCCAGAGTTCCTGAGCCAACGTGACTGGAGGAGGAACTCTGGGAGTTGAAGTCCACAAGTCTTAAAGTTGCCAAGGTTGGAGACCACTGATCTAAAAGACTAATCCCATCCCTATAAACCCTCCCTATCTGGCTATTCAGTCACCAATAAATCCTGTTTAATAAAGTTTACATTGGAAAATCTTCTGAGTCCATTTGCCAGTGCATAAAAGTTTCACATCAGAAGTTTAGACAGGCAGCAAAGTTTGATAACTTCAACTGAATTAATAAAAAGCTTAAGCTTAAAGAAGCTTTGCCAAGCACCCTATGATCTTGCTGCTATAGCCGCTCTCCTTTGTAGGCTTGTTAGCATAATGTGCTCTGTTAAGGATACAGCCAAGAAAAGCGATTGTAAGTACGGTAGATCAGAAGAAAAAAAAACCTGTCAATTCTCCCTCGAAGGAAGCAAAGATCAAGGAGGGAACTCACCATTATCGCTGCTGTTGTTTTCCTCTATATTAATGGGTTCATTGAGGTTTTTCTCTACAGTTCGGCTCCCCCGCAGCGTCATGGACAGCTGCCTCTTGATCTTCTTCATCCGATCCATGATGGGGAAGGGGCTGGAGTCACTGCTGAAGGTACGGGATGAGGAAACATTAGCCAGGGTGTTAAACAAGCAGTTTTATTTGGTATAGAATAATGTCAGATGTAGCAAAACTAATGCAGCATTAGACTGCAGCTCAGATTCTTCGCCAAACAGTGGCTGGTAAAAACTTCAAATGAATGCCCTCAATTAAAATGGATTTTTAAAAAACCGAAGTGACTCATCAAAGTTCCTCCAAAATTCACGGACATTTCTTAAAGAGACTTTCAAATGTTATCGACATATGATTTTTAAACAACATTTTTAGACACATGTAAATACATCTGTACAAGACAGCATAGTCTAACATCCGGAAGATTTGACTGGAGATTTCAAACCAACAACAAATCTCTTACTTTACTTGATCCCCAGGTTGAATGGTGCAAGATAAAGCAACCTATGGTTCCAACAGCTCCATCCAACTTGACCAAAGGTGCCAAAACTGCTCTGTATCTTGTCCTGTTTGACCTTCCATGTTTTTGTCCTTTCTATTCGTTCCTCTGGAGAACTTCCTTTTGCACATCTCAGCCACTATTTCCTAGTCCACAACCTGTATTCCTTGGCTTCCCTGGCTTCACCTAAGTTGGACTCCTCCTTTTTCCATCATTCCATCCCTAGGTCTATCTGCTCATTCCCCCTCTAGGCTTTGACCAGCTCTTCCGGTCATTTGTTCTTCTGTGGAAAGAAAGCATGACAGCCAATCACTGCCAGAAACTACAGAAATACCAACCGCCATAAATTCCCAGAACTATGTAGTAAAATAAATAAATTCTGTTTCTGCATACTGAAGGTCAGTGCAAATATGAATGGCAGGGGAATTGCTCATAGAACCAAGAGCTGTTTATCAAATTAAACTAGAGCAGAGCGCAGCAAATATCCTACACAATGACACTATTGTACAGCTATCTACACTGGGGATTAGCTTCGTAAAGAATACGACTGATAGTAGCTATTACCTCCAGTACAGAAGCCTGTATCTCAATAACTATTCCTTGAGGGGAAAAGAAGAAACCCTATTAAACTTGTATGATGCTTAAGGGGTTCCTGAAAGCATCTGATTACCTACCATCTGTGGGAACAGAGCACATTGCCTAAGTAGCCTTTGATATGATTTAGCAGATATTTTGTTGTATCCCCCCCTTCCCCCCCCAAAAAAGAACATCTGAAAATCCAGGAACACAACCAGCCTTTTTTTTTTCATCTTATGGTAGATGGCAGAAGCAGCAAAGCTTACTCTTCGTGGTCAGACAGGCTCTATTTCACACTTTTGTCGACAGACAGTCCTCGACTTACGACCACAATTAAGCCCCAAATTTATGTTGCTAAGTGAGAAATTGGAAGTGAATTTTGCTGCATTAACCGTCATTAATATGAACCTGTTGCCAAGCATCCAATTTTTGATCATGTGACCACGGGGATGTTGCAATGGTCGTGTGAAAAATGCTCACAAGTCACTTTTTTCAGTGCTGTTGTTAACTGAGGACTACCTCTACTGTGCTTTCTTTGATCAACAAGATTCCTCAGACTGATACTGTCTTCCACAAAAGTGAGACAATGTTCCTCTTCCAGGTTTTTAAAAAAAACTAATACTGAACACCACACATTCTCTCCTTCACTATCTCTAAGAAAGTCATTCGAAACCCAACGAAATCGAGAAATTCCCCACTGTGCTGCCAATTAAGCACACCAACCTTTTCACACAAATTCAGTGAAGGATCTATTCTTAAGAGCCATCCTAACCTCCGACAGGAAAGAACTGAGGGAGCCAAAACAAGCCTAGCTGGAGTGGCTTTATAGCAAGGACTCAACAAGCAATCTCTTTTTATAGTATGAAATCATTAAATGACAGGAGGTAGATTGGACTTAAGAACAAACATACTTCCCGGAAGGTAAATTCAAGTAAAGCTTGCCAAGAGGGAATCTCACCATAACTCTCCTTCGAAGTGTATGTGTGTGTGTGTACCAGGGGTGGGTTTCTCGCCCCGTTCCAACCGGTTCGGTTGGAACGGGACCGGCGGCATCCTCGTGCACGCGCGCGGTGCACGCATGCGTACTAGCGTCTGTGCGAGGCT